ATTGCCTGCTTGGCTCTTATTCCACAAAGGGGGTTCTTCCTCAGGATCTGGTTTGCTCCTGGTTCAGTGACCTTACAGAAAATGTCCTCCCTGATGGCTTCCTCTACCTTTGCTCTTGACCTGGAAGTTCCCAATATTGATTGCAGTATCTTGTCTTTATTCTTTCCCTGTCCCCTTTGTATTCAACCCTCAGTGCTGCCTGTGTATCTGAACTGGCCTTTTGCCCACATTTCTTTATGAAGATTTTCTCAAATAAACGTGAAGTAAAAATCCTCTATTTCATACACCTTCAAGGACAAGAAGTAGAAAAAAAAGAAGAGAGATTACATGAAAATTCAACCATGGTTTTCATTTATATTCCTGAATTTTGGTCACATGTGGATCTGGAAGGTTTCCTTGTTTTCTTCTGTGCCTTTTCATAACTTTCTAGTATTCTGTAAATAGGCATGTTTTCCTGAGCTAGTAGAAAGCCCTTAATGAACCCATGTCATGGTGGTCTCCTACATCTTCGTGTTCCCAAAGACAAACACACAGGTCCCTTCACACAACAGGGTACAGAAATGGGACACAAATATAAGAAATGCAGGTAACTTGTAAGGATGTTATGCCTTCAAAATTTTTATAAAGATGTTCTTTTATCTCTTTTTCTCTGATACTTAAAAAAGAAAGTATCTAAACCTGAGTACTCTCTTTTCATAGATTAAGGGTAGGCTTCAACACTTCAATCTTTTTTTTTTTTTTTTTCTGTCTCTGAGGTAAAAATTGCTGGCATGGTGACTTTTTTGGCTTGAAATGTACCCTTCCCCGTAAATAGGTCTCGGAATAGGCCAACAGGACACAGTAACAATTTTAGTAGAAAAGATGCATTTCTGAGGTCTTCCAGATTGTGTGACAAACTTACTGTCTGTCACAGGAAAATCCTGTATGGATCTCACCATAGCAGAAACCAGAGGCAAAGCTGGGAGACAAAGGGGAATGCATAGATACACTGATGTGCATCCAAACAATGAGACGCTCCGCACTGGAATAAAAACTGAGAATACCGTGCTACGGAATAATTTTTAAATTTGTATTTGGAGCAAGATACAGGAGTGTTTGTATAGTATTAAACATTGAAAAATTTGTATTTTAAATTTGTATTTTAAAAATTTGTATTTAAAATTTGTATGTTAAATTTGTATTTGGAGCAAGATACAGGAGTGTTTGTATAGTATTAAACATTGAAAAAAATAAAATAGAGGAGGAGAATAGGAATATATAGCTATACCCATTCTCTCTCTCCCTCTCTCTCTATCTCTATCTCTCGTGCACATTTATCTTTGTAAATAGGAACAATGGAGAATTTTTTTTAAAAAAATGGTTGCCTGTAGAGAAAACAGGGTTGAGAGAGACAGAGCTAAAAGCTAGACTGTTCTAAATATATCTTATTTAATAATAGTTTTATCTTGAGAAACATTCAAATATTTTCTATAATAGAAAGTTTAAATCAAAAGTTTAAAAACAATACATAAAAACTAAAAACAAACAATAGAAATACACTTGACAAAAAGTATATAATGAGAAGCAAGCTAGAAAAGTAAATCAAACTTTTTTGACTCTTGCACAAAATATTGTGAAACAATAATTATAAATTAGTATATAGTTTTAAATTTCACAGACTTTAATAACATAAGGAGTTGGTTAAATTTTAGACAAAGGCAATTAATTTGTTTAAAAGATAATGGGTGCTATTGTTTCATCTGAATTGTCAGTTTCAAAGGTAAATAAAATATAAGTAGATAATTGATTCAGAAGTTTATTTCAAAGGAATAGTCATATGAATACAATTTACTGCTGTCAGAGATAACTATTATGCATAAAGCTTATTTTATGCATATTTTAATTATGTTATGTGAGACTGGTTATCATCCTGTAGGAATTTGATAAGCAATAGTAACATCTGCCATATGCAGATGTTTTTTATCTGCAAGTTGAGATAAATTCTGTTTAATCCCAGGGTTGCAACTTTAATTTCGCTTTATTCTCTGAGATGAAGAAATGAGTTGTCCCATTTTATTTGAGAACTGTGGTGTGAAATTATAAGACAGAATGAAAGTGTATGGCATAAATATTGAAATTTGCTTTATTTTTCCTTAACATATTGTCTCATTTGGCAGATAGATCTAATGTAGGACACTTCCAGTGTTGGTCAGTTCATGTCAATGGCATCACCAATGATCCTAGGGCTTTGCATCTCATATTTTTATCATACACCACATGTCAGCATTCCTGAGATGGTAGTAGGTTGCCTATAGCAACTTTAGTCTTCATATTCTCTCACAAGGACTTCCAAAGGCAGGAAAAGAGAACCATTCCTTCTTAAGTGATTTTCATAAGGAGCAACTAGACTTTACCAGAGCCCTCCCAGCAGACCCACTTCCACACATATTAGGAGCACCCTGGGTTTACACTGGTAGGCTCAGTGGAACCATGATTCACCCTTTGTGAAGTGGGCCTACCTCCCTTGATGCATGTGAGAAGAAAAGGAGCAAAATCATATTTTTAAGAAAGAAATGGTAGATAGAGTAGGAGAGAATGAATTTAGATTACATAGAGTATAGTTTCTGGTACTATTAGATTGTTTATATTTTAATTATTTCCTCATGAAGCGTGATAGATTCTTGATGGGAAGCATCAATTCAAGATTGTGAGGTTTATTTTTTTTTAACTGAGTATTAAATTCCAGCCATACATCTAATTACGACAAACAAATAAATAAGCAAGCAAGAAGATTATTTATTCATTTTTAAAACTTATGCTGATAGTTAATTTTATGAGGAAAAATATATTTTCATGGAAATTTTTGAAAAAAGACATAATTAAAAATGACTAGCTTTATAAGATGCTAGAACCTATTATACATTAATTTTAATAAACATTTTCTAATTGATTAATTATTGGCTAAATAACACCAGTAAAACAGAGTTCACAATTAGGTCCTTAAACAGTCGAGGTTTAGTTTACGATAGGGTTTCAAATTGTTGGTAAAATTTATCTTAAACTCATTTAAGAAAATGGATCTTTGGTGATTAAAAACGAAACAAGAAAATTAAATACGAGTTATTTCCATTACCATCACTAATGTTATATGTTTGGGGATAAAAAGCCTTTCTAAAATCCTGATGCATTGTTGATGGGAGTATATAATTTATAATTAATTTGAAAAACACTTGGGAAATTTATTCTTTTTTCAAATTAAATTTATTGGGGTAACAGTTAATAAAATTACATAGGTTTCAAGTGTACAATTCAATAATACATCATCTACATATTGCATTGTGTGTTCACCACCCGAAGTCAAATACCTTTGTCTCACAACATATTTAACCCCCTTGACCCTTATTTACCTCCTCTTCTCCCAACCTTTTTCTCTGGCAATCACTAAACTGTTGTCTATGGCTCTGAGTTTTTGTTTGTTTTGTTTATTTGTTGTTTTCAGTTTTATATCCCACATATAAGTGAAATTGTATAGTTCTCAACTTTTTCTGTCTGGCTTGTTTCACTTAGCATGATCTCGAAATCCATCCATGTTGTCACAGATGGCAGTATTTCATCTTTTCTTATGGCTGAGTAATATTCTATTGTATATGTATACCACATCTTTTTTATCCAATCATCTATCAAAGGACACTTCGGTTGTTTCCATGTCTTGGCCACTGTGAATAATGCTGCTATGAACATTGGTGTCTTCTTCAATTTTTTTAATAATGCCTTGAAGTTTTCAGTATATTAGTTCTTCACATGCTTCACTAAGTTTATTCCTAGGATTTTTATTCTTTTCGTTGCAATTGCAAAAGAAATTTTTAAAAAATTTTCTGAAATTTTATTATTAGTGTATAGGAACACAATGGATTTTTGTGCATCGATTTTGTATCCTGCAAACTTACTGTATTTGTTTATTGTTTCTAATAGTTTTTTGGTGGAGTCTTCAAGGTTTCCTATAAAAGAATCATGTCATCTGCAGAAAATAAAAATGTAGGACCAGATGGCTTTCCTAGTGAATTCTACCAGTCATTCAAAGAGAACTAATATTTATACTTCCTAAACTCTTCCAAAAATTGAAGAAGAGGCAATACTTTTTAACTTATTTTATGAGGCCAACTTTACTCTAGTACAAAAACCTGGCAAGGATAAGACAAAAAAAAATATTACATACCAATATCTCTAATAAACACAATGCAAAAATCCTAAACAAAACACTAGCAATTCAAATACAACTATACATTTAAAAGATTATACATCATGATCAAGTGGGGTTCATTCCTGGGGCACAAGGATGATGGTTCAACACAAATCAATCAATGTGATACACCACATAAATAAAATGGGTATAGAAGGAAAGTACTTCAGCATGACAAAGGCCACATATGAGAAATCCTCAGCTAATATCATACTTAATTGAAAAAAACTGAAAGCTTTCCCTCTAAGATCAGGAACAAGACAAGGTTGTCCACTCTCACCACTCTTATTCAATATAGTATTGGAAGTCCTAGCTAGAGCAATCAGGAAAGAAAAAGAATAAAAGGCATCCAAACTGGGAATGAAGAAGTCAGATTGCACTTTTTGTACTTGGACAATTTCTTAAAAAGTCAAAAATACATTTGCTGTATGAAGTCACTTTTTGCACTTGGGCAATTTCTTAAAAAGTTAAAAATACATTTGTCATATGACTCAGTGATTCCTCTCCTTGTAATCTACCTAAAAAAAATGAAAACATATGTCCTCACAAATATATGTATGTAAATGTTCATAGCAGCATTAGTCATAAAGCCAAAGACCTGAAACAATACGAATATCTATCAGTTAAGATAAACAAAATGTACTATATTCATATAATGAAATACTATTCAGTAATAAAAAGTAACAACTGAAAAACATAAAAAGAAGAAAATGATACATGCTACAAAATAAATTAACTTAAAAAAATGTTATACTAAGTGAAAGAAGCAAGACACAAGAGACTACGCAAGATTCCATTTACATAATATATCTATAACCGGCAAATTTGTAGACACAGAAAGCAGATCAATGGGTGCTTGGGATAGGGGAGGAGATTAACTGTAAACAGAGAACATTTTGAAGACGATAGAAATGTTCTAAAACTGGATTGTGGTGATAGTTGCACACCTATAAGTTTACTAAAGTCATTGAATTTTACATGCATAAAAAGTGAATTTTGTGGTATGTAAGTTATACCTCAATAAACTTGTTAAAAATAAACTTTTTAAAAAAGAAATCTTCCTAAGGAAGACAAAATCTGAAAGAAATACCAGAAAAAAATTATTTGATTAAAAAATTTTTTTAATTGAAAGAAGTAAAATTAAAAGAAATACATAAAGCTCAGGAAAAAAACTGTGACACACATGTAGACATTAGACCTTCTTATTATGTAAAATTTCCAACAAGTCAGTAAGTTAACAGAAACCCAACAGAAAATTGGGCAAATTATACAGACCATTTACATAAGAGAATATACCAATGGTCAACAAACATAAAATGTTTATCAAAAACTCACCGATAAACTGAAAAATGCAAATTCAAATAACAATATGATGAAATTTTCCTTCTTCCAAATTGGCAAATATAATAGTTTGCTTTTTAAATCATGGATTTAGAAGAGTCTATGAAAATGGATTCTTTCATTTACTACTATTAGAATAGTGAATGGGTGGCTGCATGGCAGTATCTACTATAATTAAAAATGCAAACGCTATGTGACTAATGACAAAAATTTATTTTTAGATATCTATATTAAAGAAATGATATTATGTGAGCTCAAGGAGACATAAAGCAGAATGTTTGGAATAATAAAAACATTTTCAAATTCTGAAAGAAAAACTAAAATTTGTCTTGCTTATAAAAATTCTATACATCAAAATATTATAAAACATGTGAATGACAACATGTAACAAGATGATATTTAAGTATTATAAATGGCAATATA